CACAACTATCATCACCTTTTACCTCCTGAACTTTTTCATCTTCCCAAACTTAGCTCTGTACTCATTAAAGAATAATTCCTCATTCCCTCTTCCTCTCAGTTTTTGCCAATCGCCCTTTTACTTTCTGGCTCTATGAATATGACTACTCTGGTAACTCATGTATGTGGAATCATCCAGTATTTATTCTTTTGTGCCTAACTTATTTCCCTTAGTATAATATCTTCAAGGTTCAGCCATGTTATAGCCTGTGTCAGGATTTCCTTTTTTAAGGTTTAATAGTATTTTCCATTTTTAAGGTTTGATAGTATTCTAGTGTATATGTATATCACATTTTGTTCATTTGTCCATCAATGGACATCAGGGTTGTTTTCCACCTTTTGGTTCTTGTGAATAATGCTGTGAACATGGGTATACAAATATCTCAAGACCTTGCTTTCAGTTCTTTTGGGTATATACCCAGAAGTGGAATTGATGGATCATATGGTGATTCTATTTTTAATTTTGTGAGGAACTGCCTTACTGTTTTCCACAGTAGCTATACCATTTTACATTCATTCTCACCAGCAGTGCACAGGGGTTCGAATTTCTTTACATCCTCACCAACACTTGTTATTTTGTGTCTTTTTAATAGCAGTCATCCTAATGTGTGTGAAATAGAATCTCATTGTTTTTGATTTCCATTTCCCTAAATGCTTAGTGATGTTGAGTATCTTTTCGTGTGCTTATTGGCCATTTGTATATTCTTTGGAGAAATTTCTATTCAAGTTTTTTGCCCATTTTTTAATCAGATTGTTTTTTGTTGTTGTATGAGTTATTTATATATTCTGGATATCAGCCCCTTCTAAGATACATGAACTGCAAATATTTTTTCCCATTCTGTAGGTTGCCTTTTCACTCTGTGGATAGCATCCTTTGACGTACCAAAGTTTTTAAGAGTTTTATAGGTTTAGCTTTTATGCTTAGGTTTTTGATCCATTTTGAGTAAATTTTGTATTTGGTGTAAATTAAGGAGCCAACTTCCTTCTTTTGCAAGTGAATGTCTGGTTTTCCCACAGCACTTTTTGAAAAGACTGTTCTTTTCCCAACGAATGGTCTTTCATCCTTGTCAAAAATCAAGGCCGTATATGCAAGGATTTATTTTTGGGTTCTCTATTCTGTTTCATTGGTCTATATATCTGTCTTTGTGCTATACCATTTTGATTACTGTAACTTTTTATTAAGTTTTATAATTGGGAAATGTGAGACCTTTTCCAGAATTGTTTTGGCTATTCAGGGCCCTTTGAGATTCCATATAAATTTTAGGAATTATTTTCCTGTTTCTGCAAAAAATATCATTGGGATTTTGATAAGGATTGCATTGAATCTGTAGACCACTTTGGATAGTATTGACATCTTAAAAATATTAAATATTTCAATCCTTGAGCATTAGATGTCCTTTCATTTATTTGTGTCTTTAATTTCTAAGCAACTTTTTGTAGTTTTCAGTGTATAAGTCTTTGGCCTTTTTGGTTAAGTTTATTCCTAAGTATTTTATTCTTGTTGATGCTGTTGTGAATGGAATTGTATTTTCTTAATTTTTTTTTATATTGTTTATTGTTAGTGTACAGAAACACAACTTTTTTTTTTTGAGACAGGGTCTTACCCTATTGCCCAGGCTAGAGTGCAGTGATACCATCATAGCTCACTGAAACCTCAAACTGCTGGGTTTAAGGGAGCTTTACACCTTTAAATTCACTAATCTTTTGTTCTGCAGTGTCTAATTTGCTCCTTCATAATCCCACCCAATGAAATTTTCATTTCTGGTAGTATTTTCTTATA